AAAGCTTATTTCGTAGACCCTAAAAGCCCCAAGCCCAAAACTGTCTCAACAAGTTTCTGGTTTAGGGTTGAGTGTCTATGATATTGGTTGTGGTTAGGTGTTTAGGGTTTCGTGTTTCAGGTTAGGTGTTTAGGGTTTCGGATGTCTCGATCCGGGTGTTGCGATCTGAGGATCTTGGGGGGGGGGGATTGGAGGGGGGGTTGGGGTTTATGTCCAGAGTTTTGGTACCCTAAACCCCTCAGCCTAGGCCCTAACCCCATAACCCCCTCAACCGTACAGCAAAACCTAAACCCTAACCCTAAACCCTAAACCCTAGACCCTAAACCCTAAACCTAAACCCTAAACCCTATACCCTAAACCCTAAACCCTAAACCCATGACTCGTATGACAAGTCGCAAACAGTCAGATGAAGACGCGTTTAGGGTTTAGGGTTTAGGGGTTTGGTTTATGTGACAGGAGCCTTCATAGGAGGCTCTGTGGGAGCCCTTCAGAAAGCTCCAAAAGGGAGTTGTTAAGAGCCAGCTATCATCTTTGTTGTGATGAGTTCTAGGGTTTAGGGTTTAGGGTGTACTTTAACCCTTATGCTAACCCTGGCTGTATTGTAGCCCTAAATTCTATCGGGACCCTGGACCTTGTTGAACCTTCAGCGCCAGACCAGAAGCCACGCCGAAGCTTTGTTGGGCCCATTTGGACTTTGAGAGGGGGTCCCCGATCTTTGAAGCAGGGATTTAAGGTTTAGGATTTTGCCATCTCTGTTGTTGCATCCAGAAACAATCATGAGGCTGAGCCTGCTTCCCATCTTGAGCCATGCCTGGTATGGTTGGCGGGAAGATGAAACAGGCATCTACGCAGAAGTGCAGGTTGCATCCGCGCCGTTCAAATCGAACTTTGCGCACCTGAAAGACGGCAAGCCAAGGAGAATCTGGATAGAAGTTGGAGCGCATGTCTGGGAGAACTTGCAATATTCGCCTGAGTTCGGTAGGTCACAAAACGACTTCCTCATATCTTTCGAGCCCCTGCTGGACAAATATGCCATGCTGTTGAGTGAGTACAAGGCAGACGTTACTGAACGGCGGCCACTGGGATTTCAACACCAGCGAGGTCTTGTTTTCCCTTTTGCTGTTGGCTGTGACGATCGCTACACACCCTTCACAGTCACAACTTACGACATGTGCAGCACAGTCTTGGGAATGACAAGCGGCAGTACTGGGTATTGGCCCGAGGCATGTTCTAACGCGGTCGACAAGCGCATGGTCCCATGCATTACGCTGCGACATGTGATTGAGTCCTGGCTTTCGGGACAAGAGGTCTTCTACTTGAAGATAGACGCCCAGGGCTTTGATCTGAAGGTCGTGCAATCTGCAGGTCCAATGCTGCGGAAGGTAGAGCACATTGAGCTCGAGGGAGCTTGTGATCGTGTTTCAGGGCTCTATGCTTCAGCCCCCAACTGTTCCACGATTTGGAACCATATGAATCGTGCCGGATACGTGTGCGTTTGGATGCATGATATCCGGTCACCTGAAGTGAAGCAGGCGTGTGACCGCAACTTCGGGGGAAACTTATGCCAATCATGTGACAGAGAGATGAACATGTTTTTCACCCGTCTGCCCTACTAGCCCCTCGCGGTGAGAAAATCATGCCAAGAGCTTGGTTTGCTTTTGCTTGAGGACTTCAAGCAGTGGTAGGAACTACGCAGCAGCAGCAACAACAGCAACAGCAACAGCAACAGCAACACAGCAACAGCGACCACGACTAAAAAAAAGAAATCCAACACCAACTTCTATTTCGACATCTACCCCTGCCATACGTCCCAATCTCCTGCAACCGCTCCTCCTAATCCCGGCCTCTCCCTTGTGCGACCAATGATGGTGAGGAAGACGAGGTAACGACGGTAACGATAATGCTGACACTGACAATGCTCTGACTCTAACTGTTCTGCTGAGGCCTTTGGCATTGGAAAGCCGTCGGCATCCTCAGACCAGATCTCGCGGAGGATGCGGCCACCTGGTTGACCCCCAGTCTCTTGTGGTTTGTGATAACCAGTCGTGTGCCTGTTCCTGGTGCTATTCTGAAGCGTCTTATCGCTCTTGCTGTTGGGTTCTTGTCAGCTGTGTATCTGTTCCAACTTGCGAGTTGGGTAAAGACGTCTGATGCCTAAACAGGTCTGCCGTGTCCTGAACAAGGCATCGATAGGGTTGGTTAATTTGTGCTATGCACGATGACTGCTACGAAATATCTCCACCGCAATCCGCAATGTTTGCTACTTGGATGCACAGAAGCCGAGACACAACTGCTTTGTGTGGCGTCTGCCACCGTCACCGCGCTTGAAGAGCCCTCGGGCCCAGCGGGCTTCAGCCTTAGCCAACTCCCAAAACGAAAAGCAATCACAAAGCCTTGGCAAGGCTGGCAATGGCAAAGTCGCCAACCAATACAACAAGCATAGCAACAGCTGCACGTGTTGTAGGTTTTTTGATCGTCGTGAAAGGCTTTCACACGTAATCGGCTGCGTGGAACGTGCGGACTATATACCCTTCGCCCCAACGTGGGCCATGCGTCAGCTGCATTCATGTCAGTAGTATGTATACGAGGAAACAAAGCACCGGATGCCAGGCTGCAGGGAAAGATGCGGAAAGCGCAGGCGCAGACGACTTTCGCCGAGCTCCAAAGAGTATCCTCACAGCAATATCCGATGCCGAGGGTTTGTTTTGCGCCTGCTTAGGCGCTTAGAAAAATATTCGGCGAACTATCTAGCTGCCTGTCTATCTATGTCTCGGTCTATCTGTGTATGCATCTACCTACCCAACTACTATCCATCTATCCATCCTTCATCTATCTATCCATCCATCCACCCATCCATCCACCCACCCACCCACCCATCCATCCAACCATCCACACCCACCCACCCACCCAGCCCAGCCCATCCATCCACCTCAATCTATCAATCCGTCCATCCACCCATTTATCCATCCAGTTTTGTCCACCCAACTATCATCAAATGTCATCAAATCATCCATACCATCATCCATCCAGTTAGCCAGCCAACTATCCATGCATCAAACCATCCATCCTTCCGTCCGTCCATCCATTCACGTGTCTGTCGGTCTGGCTCTCTTTCTTTCGTCAGGGCTATGGGCAAGAGAGTTGCCCCCCTTGCCCGCGCCCGTTCGGCTCGCTCTCTCTCTCTCTCTCTCTGTCTCTCTCTCTCCGAGGCTATTGAAGGGAAGCGTGGATGCAACCCAACCCCCTCGCACGCGCACACGATGCACACGCTCCTGACAGCGCACGCGCACACGCTACTGGGCAGGCTGGGCATGGCTCGTTCTTTTACCGGAGCGGTACACAAACAGCAGCTGCATTTGCATTGCGAAACAGGACAGCTTGCACAACTCAGACTACAATGTTCTGGAAGCCACGGCAACTGCGAGCCTCCCGCCGTCTGCAAGTGGTTTACCAGGATGTCATGTGTGGGTGTGTCACTGTTTGCTTCGGAGCCCCCCCACTCGAAGAGGGTGACTGGAGTTCTGCAGCATTCCTCCCCCTCCCTCAATAAATGCCGACCGCCAAATTTTTCACAACCTCAAGACGCTTCGCGAGTACACTATGGTGTGCTTCTCCCCTGCGGCAGGGAACTCTTCGTTGCGGTTGCGCCTCCTGGTTTTCTGTCCTCCTCCTTCAGGTGCGATTGTACACAGCTGTGACGAAGTGGCGGGAAGACTTTCGTTGGGCCTTCCTCCCCCTCGGGCCGGACTTGCTTCCGCCGCGGAAGTGGCAGGACCAGCCTGGGGTCTGAGGCGGGCCTGAGGCGGGCCTTCGCGAGGTAGTGGCCGGCGTCGGTGTAGGCGCGGGCATAGTCATCTCGCCGTGGCCTTCTACTGGTCTTGTCCCTCTGGTCAAGGATTGAGCTGCTAGGGGTCAGGCCACAGACCAGTGCTTTCCCATCCCCGCAGACCTGCAGAGGATGCAGAGAGGCGCATCCCCCTGCTGTCCATCGCGGCAGGGGTAGGTTCCGACTGCGTAGTAGTGTTCAACCCCCCCGTGTGCCGGAGTGGCGTGTGCGGAGGTGCTGTCAGCTGGTGTGCTGCTGCGCATCCCTTCCGGTCATTGGCTGGTGCACAACGACATGACCGTATCTCACTCCTGGTCCCTCCCCTCTGGTATCGTTCTGTATGTTGTTGATGTCGAGGTGGGTGCGGACGCTCGCGCAGAAAATCAAGATGCTGCAACAAGAATACACAGCAAATGTGCGAAAACCTCAGTGCTGCCATTTTCTCACGCTATCTGAAACGAACTGTTCGGAAAAGGAGCTCAACATTCGCAATAGCAAGAACGAAGTGAGCCAAGCTGCTTGGTTGGTTCTGGGTCGTGAACGCCACAACCATCGGTGCAGACACGCCTGTGCTACACACTTCACAGAGAAACAGCGAGAGACAACGAGCGGGGGATAGCGGGAGAGTGAGAGAGATCCTTCATGATCGCACATGCCAGAAGCACCTGCCAAAAGAAGGTGTTGCACTGTTGCACATGCGGGGTTTGCGGACTTGCCCTAAGGGCATTGCATCGATACTGGAGCGCCGGGAAGCTGCCGAAGCCCTCAAAGGCAGCGCCGGAAGCAGAAGGAAAGCGGTGGCCTTCTTCTAGCGCCGTGGGATAGACTGTCGCCCCGAAGAGAGGTGCCTGAAGTCCGTGACGGATTCTTTGAGTCGGGAGCGGGGCCTCTTGCCTTTTCGCTCTTATGAGTCAGGCCCTAGGCCCTGTACTATAGGCGTCCCCAAAGCCCTAAAAGTAGAAAAGGATACTTGGCATAGGGAAGAACTCGCACCCCGCATACCCCGCCGAATCCTGCAAAACCGAGCCTCCAGAATTTCAAGGCGACCAGCGAACGAGGAAAAGTCGGCCAGCGACCTTCGCAAAAGGAGTGCCCCGACCGCCAGGGCCAGTGCCGCTAGAAGTGTCAGAGGCTTTAGTGGGCGAATGCCATGACCAGGATTACCAAAGGACCATCAAGTCACCATCAGACAGGACAGCAGCGAGCGCAGTTGCAGCAGGAGCAGAGCGGCAGCACGTGCAGTACACCACCACCACCACCACCACCACGACGCAGCTAGCACCGGAATCGCCATGACCACCCACATCCTGGGCTCTGCAGGACCGTCACCATCATCACAAACCTTAGCCCTGTACCGAGGGCTCTGTGGCCCCATTTTGCCTCCCAGTGGCCCTGATGCCATGGCGCTCCAACAAACAGACACCACCCCGGGAGACATCGCCACCAAGTCCTGCACCGGAGGGAAACAAAGAGATCTAGGATGACGTGCTGCCTTCAGCAGAACTGCCTGCCAAGGCAGCGTCTAGAGCAAGCTCGGTACCGTGCCCGGGCAAGAAACACCCCGACGACAGCGAACTTTGCCGGTCCTGCCATGTGGCTTCGTTTGACCGCCACCAGATGGCTCCGGAGAGCCCAAATTGAGGGAAGGTGCCGGAGTAGTCCAGAGCGAGGACGAACTGCCTGGACAAGTTTGTTCGCATCTCTGCGTCTGTGGTGGAACCTCGAAAGCCTCGGGACCACTTCGGATGGGGTGGGTCCCAGATGTCACTTTGCACAACCGATTGTGCGTTGGGACGATGCAAACAGACTACGAAACATTCAAGACCCGAACCTCCCGAGCACTGGTTATACAGCACAATTCAGGTTCGGTCGAAGCGCGTGGAGGACGGCAAGCGGATGACTCGGTGCGGCCTCGCATTGACCTGAGTGGCTTGAAGCTTCCGCTTGGGCAGGAGTGGATGACGATTGCAAACTCTACCTCTGGCCTGCCTCTGGCTATAGAAGAGCACTGATTTGAATGGAGTGACGACAGAAGACTGCTTGTCTCCGACGGGAAACTGAGAGCAATGTTACACTTCAAGCCCCAGATGTGCTTTCCTTAATCCGTCCTGCTACAGTTGCTAAGCTTGGTCCAGCGGCAGTACCAGCACAGTAGTCGCAATTGGAGCTGGTCACGCCCGAGAAACTGACCTTGGTTGGAGGAGAGTGCACCGGCTAGAAGAACACTCGGGCCACTCGGCCAATGTACTAAAAGCATGCCAATCAACCCCCAAACTGCTCTCGGCTCAAGTCTTATGCCCAAGCCGATACTGAGAATGCTGTCGGCCACCAATGCTTCTTGATTCAATTTGCAGGCAGCTCACAAACTCCGTGGTGCTGGTCAGCCCATGAGGCTGCGTGCAACTCACCAGAAGGCCGTCGTAAGTTCCTTCAAAGCTACAGCTGGGGATGCCGAGAAGAAGTGCAATTCAGAAAATATATGCGCTGCGGGACAATTCGGCGTCCCGTGCTCGTGGTATCCTGTGCTTCCAAAGGTTGCACACGATCAACTCGCGATTGGGTGATGACTATGTCGTTACATAACGGCTCCAACATTTAAAACTCGAATCCTCGACGATGTCACGTTGCACCCATCCGAGACCTGAAACCGTAAAATGCAGCTGGCTGACGGGTTAGCGACAGCAGGCCACCGCCTGAGGCGTCCCCAAGCTGTTGGGGCGCCATGTCCGGGACCTAAGCTGCAGCCCATTCCCTTGCACCTGCGCTCTGCTGCGAATGCAGGGGGCTCAGTGAGATTTTGCGCCAAGGCACAGAGACCTGGGCGGCCATGGCCGGACCGCCACAGCTGCCTCGGTCTGAACCAACTAACTCCCATTCAAAACCCCTATTCTCCAGCGATGACCTACGAACTTGCACTCAGGTTGCACCACGCAGCACAGCAACACAACACCTCACTGCCCTCCGGACCTTCTCGCCCATCAGGAAAGACAGCCAGACGGTTCGCAGCACCAAGCCCAAAACCACTCAGTGCCCTCGGCCCGGCCGCGGCGCCAGAACAACACAGACACTTTAATTCACAGTTCGTCGTCCCTTTTGTCAGTTGCTGCATAGTATTAAACATGCGGACGCTGCTCGACCAAGTGACATTAAAACTCTTAGGCGCCTTGAGGGCATTTTCATGCAGCACACTTCAACAGCTCCCCGAGGAACCTGATCAAATTGGAAGAGTCGCAGGTCAAAGAGGAGACCCCGATACCGCTGCCAGCTGTGATGCCTGGATGAGGAGTCGGGGCTTTTGGGAGTAGCCGGAATGATGAAGTGAAGATGCAGGCCTCGAAGGGCCTTCGACGAGTTTCCACTCCAAGAGGCTCCACTGCACGGGGCTGCGGCACCTTTGGTTACCGGGCAATGAGGAACAGAGTACCCACAGGCTCTGCCCGTACTTCGGGTAGTGCTCAATAAGTCTTCTCTTCTCTTTTCCGACAGGCTGCTGTTGCTCGCAGTAGCACACGGCGTACATACCTGCGCTCAACAAAGCTCATCTCGATCGAATGCGAACTCTGGCAGTAAGCCTTCGGACTTTTTTGGAAGGTTGCAGGTTGGAGGCCTGCGAAAAGAAAGCGGACATCCTCCCAGACGTGGCCGTCTGTCCCGCTTGCTGTCGGAGCCTCGGCTAAGCCCAAAGTGTCTCGCTCCCGGAAGCAATTGCGGCGTCCTCATCTTAAAGCCCTAAGGGGTGTCAGGAAGAGTTTCACTCCCACTTCCGAATGTCAGCAGAAAAGGACAACCCCTGCCTGCTGTTTCTGCAGCTCTCTTTTTCCTTTTTCCGGTGTCGAAAAACGAGGCAGCGGATTCCGAGCTGAGAGCTGAGCCTTGCAGTCGGTGCTGGTCAGGCAGAAATGACCGGCCAAGCTCCTGGGAGCCGCTTCTGACTGGGGCTTTGTGGCGACACACCGAAGTTTGGAGTCGCAGTGCAGTCTCTGCCACACATGGCACGATTGGGCGCTTCGGTTTGGCCACACATGGCATGGCATCCCACGTCGATGTCCATGCCGTGCAGCCAAGTCTCTGCAGGCTTTGTGTGCGCGAGAAGCACTCTGAAGCCTCGGCGAGTTCGGGGGCGTTTGCCCCTCTTGCTAGGCTAACGGCAGCTGCAAAATCTTCGACAACTACGCTGCGCTGAACGACGAACAACACGGCCATCGCCAGGACAACCCCGACCACTACTTTGCACAGACTGGCACAGACTTCGGCCGGGAGCACTTGCTTTGCAAGCAAGTTGCGCCGAACACCCCTTCAGCATCCTCCAGGAATTTCCTTGCTTCGACTGCTCCGCCAAAACAGTCCAACACGCAAAAAACACAGGCCTAACAAGCTAAGGCCCCGAGCACATACAGAGAGAGAGAGAGAGATGCTGTGACCAAGGTTTCAAGAGACAGAATTGGAAAACTTCCTGTGTCTTGACGATGCAACCAGGCTTCAGTTCCGGTGCAGATCCCGTGGCCTGTGACCAACCACCCTGCGTGCCCAGCAGCTGCAGATCCAGAACCTGTCCCGGCACTGCGATTCAGAAGAGTCTGGAGCTCTCTCTCTCTCTCTCTCTCTGTCTCTATGCTACCCAGTAGACCGAAAGCTTCCGGCCATCGTTGTTGACAAAGTCCAACCCCGCCTTGTTGGCCACAATCGGCTGCGGCAAAACCTCGTTTTGTGCCGGCCAAGCCCGAACGACTGCAGAGCTAGGGATGAGTGTGCCGCGAAAAACGACACATAGTTGTATCGGCCTTTGTCTCTTCATCTACCGAAGCCTTGCGTCTCTTGCAGCCGGCCTGGATGACGGAGGTCTGTATGCTTCCCGCCTTGCGATCTCTCGAAACTACTCGCCACTTGTCAAGGAATGTGGATGTGTCTGCTTCTGGTCCATCCTCCGACTTCAACGCGGGCTTGGAGCACCGGTTAATCTTGAGTTTCCATGAGTTTCCGAATATCTTCCACACGGCATATTTGCATGTAAAATGCTCCCATTCTTGCGTCTCGCAACTGAGCGGGCTTAGCGTCCTACATGCTCAAGCAACCAAGACATGATGCCAGCGAGGAGCGTTGGCCGGTCGGCTCTTGCTCAAAATATTACTCTCGGGTTTGGCCTGAGGGGATGTGAGAAGCTTGCGAAACTCGATGGAAGCTGCGAAGCTGCCCATATCAGACCGCGGCACAGATGTCACAAGTAGCTCGGCTCAGGCCCCGCCCATAAACTCTAAGCCTGAAGCAAACCCTAAGCCAGAAAAACCCTAAACCCTTTTAAAAAGCGGCCCTAAATCCTAAGCCCGAAACACCTCGGAACTCTGAGCAGACCTGACACGTCGGCCAATCTAGCAGCTTTCGCAGCTTCATCCCCTGTTGTTTCCCAATGTTTGCAAATGTTCCCGCTGCAGCCTTGAACCAGTTCGGCGACTGGTCGCAGGAGCCCAGGCACCTGCGGGAAGGTTTCCGAACTGCAAGCAGGTGGGAGGCTTGGCAACCCCCCCCTTTGTTGCATACACCGCAGGCACAACGCCTTTCAACTTTATGCCAAGGCGCAAGCAGACGTCGTAGAGCATCGGCTTCCTGGGCTGAACCAAACGTACTTCCTGCTACTTTACAGCAGAGAGGACGCAACTAGGGGAAGGGAAGAGTAGGGGTGCATTGCATCAGCTGCAAGCGTCTCTCCAATCCAGCTTGGCAGAGAAACTGAGTTCGCATGCGTCGTCGTGAGACCTAAGCCTGCGCTGAACGACCGTGGCAAAGCTCGCTCCTCAATGCAAGAAACAAAGCTGAAACGGTTGTTTACCCTCCTACAAATCTCGTCGATGCTTGGTCAGCAACGAGTCGGAAAAGATGTCTTCCGTGAATGTGAAAGATTCTTAGGCGATATTTCTGTCTTCAGTTGTGAATGTATGCTGCGGCTATGTTGCCGTATGATTGTGGTTCCGCTCTCTGTTGTACTGACCCAGGGAGCGTGCCTCAAATCGAGTTGATCAAGGAATAAGGTGGGAGGTTTCCCCTCCTGTGCTGGCGCTTAGATGCCTGACATCACAGGAGGAAGGGCCCCTAAACTCTCTTGTGGCCAAATCTCTAAACAACAGCTCCCGCAAGCTCCAAAGGAGCTAGCTGTCGTGATTAGATGCTCCACGCAAAGAGGCCAAGGTGCTGCGCTTGGTTCTCGAAGGTCGGGAAGAGTCTGAGATTCGCCCACTCCTTTGCAAGCATCTTCGTTTGAAGGACCAATGACCAACCAAACAAGATCAGGACGGAACTACTTATGTAGGCACGGTCACTCTTTCCAAGCTTCACGATGACCTTTTCTCGCTCTCTGTATTGCCTCTGACAAGGGGCTGGCACCGTGCTGCTGGCCACAGCAGGAGGCAGCGTGCAGCGTGTGGGGCTGGCGCAGTTCTCCGGGGACATGTAGCCTGGAAGGGCATGGCTTGCTATCATAAATCGTTCCTAGATGCGGTGCTAGAATCATTGCCTGCACAGCTACAGATGCATATACCTGAAAAAGCCGCCAGCAAAAAAGCAGTTCGACTCGGCACGCTGCTCTGTACCAAATGCTCAGAGCCCCCGTTGTCGAGATCTCATGAACACATGCGTTTCCCATTTCGTTCCAAAGCCGTAGCAGCACCAAGCCAAATTCAGCCAGATTCGCAAGCACTGTCGTGTTTGGCACCGCCGTTGGTATTCCAATTCCAGCTCAACCGTACGCTGTACACCAATTAAACTGCATTCAATTGTCTTGGAATAACTGCGATCTCACAATTCAGCCCAGCAGCTGGCTGACTGGGCTGCACTGCGGCAGCCACTGAGGGTATCGAATGCTGGGCCTTGGTGCAATCGACCAAGCATGGAACTCGGTCTGCTAATGTCAATGACTATAATGTCTGTTGAGGATGGGCATTTGTTGCCTCTCACAGCTGACTGCTCACTCGCAGTGGCACAGTGTCGGAAGTCGCGACATCAAAGCACTGCAAGCACCCATGACCGAGGCGCGATTGTTGCTGGAAGCCGCATCGACAATCTTGATCCTACGGGATTTACTAAGCGCACCAAGAGGGTCCAGACTAGGTGTTCCACATTGCTTCTCGAGCACTTCCGCCGCTTTGCGGCCACCCTATTCCTGATCGAACCCACGCACTCCGTTACGGCTCCATGTGCAAGATCCCTACTCTTTGGACCTTAGGAGCAAGGGAACGCAATAAAAAAGTGCAAAGTGCAGAAGTATCGCTCAGCTGCCAAGTGGAATGCTACAGTCTGTTTCCTGCGACATTAACTCAAGAGTTCCTGTTGGGTTGCGCACTGATTGCTGCTCCTCCTCGTTGGGCTCATCGCTGAAAGCTTGAGGCTGTCTGAAGCTACCATCAACAAGTCCCAACTAACGCGCGGCATCTCCGTAATCTTGAGTCTTGAATACACGAAATTGGGGCCTTTTTCCATGCAGTAGCGAACAAGCTGCAATCTTGCTTAACACGAGGCTGTTCCAGCAACACTTACTCCAACACTTCGCAGAGAGCCCCAGAAGCTCACGGAGCCGTCAGCATGGCAAGGTCCACTTGTCCTGGGCTCTGTTGTGGCTGGGCAGCCGCCTTCAGTGGTGCTGCCGCAGTGTACCCGAAGGGTGAAGCGGAGCCTTCGAAGCAAGGGTTCATGGTCCGCGCATGGGGAAAGCTACATTTGGGGCAGAAGTGGGTTGAGGGCTTAGGCCGTTGCAGTTCCACTGGCAAGTGCTTCAACTTTGAGATGTGCTCCTTTGGATGCGCCCTCGCTTCGCTTTTATCCAATGACCAAAGGCATTGGAGGCTGCTGGAAAAAGATGAAAAAGCCAACACGCAGCATCTGTGCTATGATGTTACACCAACGTAACCGGGTGCCACTCCGAAGTCTGTCTACATGCGGCCAAGATCCCCCAGATCAAGACGTTTAGGCTCCGAAGACACGGCTCGCATCAAGGAACCGGACTTTCGATGATCTTGCAGATCTTTGCTGTCCAAGGGGCTGGGGATGCGGATTCTGGACTGGCACGGCTTCCGTCACATAGAGGATACCCGTGAGCTGGACAAAGTCCTGGCGGTCTCCTACGCATTGGGCAAAAGTAAAACCTGCATGGCCGTGTGCACCTCGGACGCTGTGCAGGAGGCTGCCGAGCTGTCTGCATTATACCTGCATTTCGGGGAGATGAAGTAAGGCTTGAAGTAGGCTTGTGGATGCTTGTGGCACCTGCGGCCTGGGGCGCGAGGCAGTTGCAGAGTCAACACTCGGGGGACTTCTGATGGCCAGGAGACGCTGAAGCAGCTCTGAAACAAATCTGTCGGCTGCCAAGGCTCCCAGGGCAGAAACATACCTCACGTGGCAGATACAAGCAGCAAGCTTGGGACCATAGTTCTGAGCACGAACGAGCCCAGTTGCTGCGAACGTGCCAGCACCAGCACTCACCGGAGGACCCAGGCTGTGCGTGGCTGAGGACTCGCTACCAGCCTGTTCAGGACAGTGAGGGATTCAGGCTTGGGGAATGCAATATTCAAGCTTCCAGGATTGGTCTTCAAGAGCGCCAAGATGTTGAGAAGCTTGCACCGTAAACCTTTGGCAAGAGATAGCCCAAGAATCAGTCTTGTCTGAAGTATTGGAATGCAGTGCCCTGCTATGTGGGGCGAGTCAACGGAAATACGTGGGCAACTACAGCGCTGCAGCGCTACATAGTGGAATACGGCGCGCACAACCGACCCAAGACGACGTGGACTGCAACTTGCCAGGATGTGACGCATGGCAGAGTGTATCGAGGTCATGCAGATAACCGTGAATCGGCTTGAGGAAGCATGTGTAGTGTGATGCCACGTGCTGGAACATCAGGCGGCATGGCCTGACGAAACTATGTAATTAAGGTTTCAGCACAACAGAACTATTTGTATAGAGCCACCACAGTGCCCTGGTAGCTGGTAGCATGTAGGGCTGATATCTTCGGGCGCATATGAGCTACGTCGCGATGACACAAACAACCAGCAACGTGGCCAGGCGGAAAAGGGTGTGAAAATGTGTGACATACCACGACAAGACGGCTTGCTATGCTTAGTGTCATGTCACCTCACACTGCAAGACGGCCAGATTGTGGGGCGATCAAGCCAGGTCTCTTCAAAGCTAAGTCTCGCATGCAAGTGAGACGAAAGGCGCTTGCAGTCCAGCCATGAGAGTCAATTCCAAAACCCGAACTCTGGAATCCGAGCTTCGAAAGCTATGGAAAATCCTGAAAGGAAGTGCTGGCCTCTGACGTGATCACCGAAACGTTCTGGCCAAAGGAGCCCGCATAGTCGATGGCGCCACACACACCGTTGACTGGAACGACCTCGACCGCACATTGTTTGCGAAACTAGCAGGACTGAAGGCCGTTCAGAACAGTCTGAGACATGTATGTTAAGGGCCCCTGGTAAGATGAAAAACGAGTTCAGGGTTGCATTGTCACGGGAAGGCCGCGTCAGGGAAAGATGCTGCAATGTCACACAACCTGCGGTCACGGAAAGCTCTGCGGAACCCCTGAGGCATGGGCGGTGAGGTACCAGTTGGTCTTCATGCCCAGGCCAGCGATCTGAAGGCTAACAGCAGCAACAGCAGCAACAGCAACAACAGCAACGGCAACAACAGCAACGGCAACAGCAACAACAATAGCGACAGCGACAGCAACAGCGACGGCAAGAGCGACAGCAACAACAAAAATAAAAACAAGACAGCAAAAACAACAAAAAAACAAACACACAAAAACAACCACGACTACGACTACTACCTCTACTAGTTACTGCCGCTACTAATAATGATAACAATAATACCAATAATAACAATAATGAGACTGCTGCTACTACCACCACTGCCTTCGTGCTTCGTTTTTCTTGTTTTCTGTGCTTGAGAACTCCCAAAGGCTGCTGTTTGAAAACACCAGCGACTCAGAATGTCACAGTTGCTCAGGTCATGAATACCGTTCACGTTCATTCGACGTTCAAGGTTATAGTCAGCGTTACGAAAGTGCTGGCAGGGTCTGCAAGCCATGGGAGTTGTCAAGCATAGAAAGCAAGAAAATACAGGTACTTCTTGCTGCCCATGCTTGAAAACTCGAAAGTGCTGTCCCTGCCAGCACTTTCGTAACGTTGCCCGCAACGGTAGCTGTAAGGTAAACTGAACTCTGACTGCTTAGCGCTGTTGACTGTCGACATGCGACCCCTGGTTGCTTGATGGCTCCAGAAGCGTTTAGCCATGCGCCAACATCGAGCAAAGGCTCAAGATGCACAAGACCTCAGACTAGCCAACCCATGCAAGTCACGCAAGCATCTCTAAAGAGCCTCGGGTCATCATCTTCATAACAAGATTAGCAGTCCAGTCCGTGGATGGTGGAAATCCTGCACCACGTACCGAACCCAAGGCCTGTCAACCATCACCCAACTACCGAGGTCTAACATTGCTCCCTGTTTCGACGGAGCCGTGCATGATTTATGTCAGTGGACCAAGTCCGGAAAACTGCTTACCAGCACTGCTTCTCTGGAGAAGTGCGTACTGCTAAGACTAAGAATGACCACACTATCCGCGAGAAGACCTGGAGACGGCAGCGGAGCCGGAGCCTGCAGCGTACAGTCAACCGTCACATCATCCAGGCACCAGAACCTTCCCAGTCATGGCGAATGTTGCTGCGGCTGCTTTGAGGTCAGAGACTTAGCAATCTGCAAACTTCCAAGAGCAGCAAACTTGAGAAGAGGGCCACGACGGCCAGGGGGAGGAAGCTGAGCCGTCCATCGAACTCTGTTGTAACCCGGCATAGCGACTATGTAGTGAAGATCGCCATGCCGCCACTGCTGCTAGGAACTTGGGCGATCTTGCAGGGTCGAGCGAAAGGCCGAGCGAACATGCATTGCGAGCACTCTAAGCATGCTGGCACAGGACCTTCAGGCAAAGGGGGGGGGGACCTGAAGGCCCCCATGATGATAGGCGGGGCCTCCTTGTCCCGAACGCGGTTAGAGGAGAACTCCCACAGGCTCAGAGCTCGAGTAAACAGACCCCTAATCGGAAGTCCGGCAGCTCGAAGCTGTTGGCACCGGTGCCCACCACGTCGAAAGGAGCCGGTGCTAGTCGCCAGGCTGCCGCTCCAGAAAGATCCTTGGGTCATGGTCTTCAGTTCAGGATCAGGCCTTATGCCTGCGGCTTTGAGGGTTCGGAGCATAGCAAGCATAGCTGCATAGACTTGGGGTCAAAATTCAACGGCTTAAACACAGCGCCAAAAGATGCACACACAACACATACGGACACGACATTAACCAGAACATAGCATTCATAGCAAGACGCAACTACCACAATATAGCAAACCAAACACAACATAACACAGCACGACACCAAACAATGAACCAGAGCCGACTGAAATTAGGATGACATAGAGGGGAATTCAGAGACTTTACCATACTGGAATCAGCACACGGCAGGGCATATACTGGAGACCAAGCCCGGGGACCAAGTGACAAAGCATGGCCGAGAATCCATGTAGCAGACTTTGAAAGCTCCGCCGTACGGGAACCTCGGTGTGTGCATTTTGGCTGCCGGGCCGGATCGTCTGGCTGAGAGCGCAGCGACTGCTGTAACCAAAGGCGTCTGTCTGCTGTTTGCATCCGCCAACATGAGCCCAAGGCCTGGCGTCGACCCAGCGGTTCTCGTAGGTCTCTGCTGGAGTCCTGAGATACGCAGCCTTTCCGTTCAAGCATGATCTTGCGCGTGTTTCGCTTGTTTGGTGGTTTCCAAACAGCGATAGTTGCAGCTTGATTTCACCAAGCTGCGATTTTCGGCGGTTGTGGCTGTATCCCGCGGGCATCAAAGTTCTGTGGGTGAGGGCTTACAGATCTCTTGCTTAAAGGATCATGACGCCCTGCTTATATTGAGATCAGTGGCACTCCAGGGGTCTCACCGTCCAGCGAAGTGGGCACCGGAATGCGCTGAAAAACGATATTTGGCACCTGCGACTGGTCTCTCAAGCGGTTCCTCACAGCAAGGACGCATCCATGCGTCAAAAGGACAAGCCGGCTTGGGGGAATAACAGGAACCCGTTTGGGGAGTAATGGCAACCATTTCTCGGGTGGGGTTGTAACGGGAACGAGGGCTAGTCGAAACAGGAACCGCACCGGGAGCATAAGGGGAACTGTCCCAAGAAAACCAAGCAACCGAAACTATGCTGGAACTCTTGTGGGCCTAGTTTGACACCATGAAAGCCTTATGCTGATGCCTATGTTTCGTTCGAGGCATATAAAGCTTGGGGTTGAAACAAGTTGAAACAGTTCGGGATATAGGATGCCAGTGGCAATACACACCTTGTCTCTGAAGCCACAAGCTGTTTATTCATATTGTTTTGTCGAAGGAATATGGATGTTTTATCTTACACGAAGGTTCGTACTAATGCAAGTCGAAGTTGTCGTAGTACGAGTACCACTATTATTAGTGGCGGGACTAGGCCTTTGCACGCCCTCGTGCACTGACCAGCGCCAGCTTGGCTTATTTTCTGGGTTGAGGGTTTAGGCTTTCGGGTTTAGGACTTTGCGGCTGTCGAGGTATTTAAGAGGCCTAGGGTTACATGGTCAATACCTTGGCTGATGCACTGGCTAGCTGAGCTGTCAAGTATAATACCCGCTTCGGGACTATGCCGCCCCAGGGGTTCAGAGATTTAGAACTTAAATAGGGGTTTAGCGTTGACGGGTCAGGTTCAAGGGTTCAGGCATTTGCCAGTCGAGAACGGCTTTAAACGCTCGAGAACAACCTCAAACGCTCGAGAACGGCTTTGGGGGTTTGGGGTGTCGGTCAGCTCTTAGCACCAGAAGTAGGACGAAGAAAGAAGCCAGGAGCCTTCGTCATGCGATCGTGCACACAAGTCACGAAATTTGCAGTTTCACTCGCAGCAGACACATGCAATGTTATTTTGGAGCGTTAATGGCAACACTGATGCTGTAGCCATCGGAAATTCAGGACAAAGGTTGCTGTGGACATCTGAGGTCAGTTTCCTATAGTGCTACATGACATGACGTTTTGAAGCCGTATAAGTGGGGGACCGGAAAGCAGTCCCTGAGTTGGCGAGCCCACAAGAGCAGTGGGATGTGAAACAAGTCATTCTTGAAGCCCGCACTGGTTCCTGTTAGGAGGGGCGGCCTGGGGGGGGTGTTACAGGAACTGGTGGTTGCCGTTACGGGATCGTGCTGTTACGGGTTCCCGTTGCTTCCCGTTTCGGCAGACACTCTAGGTCTAAGTGCTTATACTGCCAGCGACAACGCAACACTGAAACCTGATGACAGAATCCCTGGCCCAGAAGACATGATCATCATTCCCTCCGTGCAGTCTGACTGAAACGCCTTGAAATCTCGATGAGAAGCCCCGAAGACACTGCGACACCCCGCGACGCTCTTCCAAGGGGACCTCACTGGCTCGCCCCGGGAGACAGTCATCATCGATAGTAGCAGTGGCAAAGACCTCGGCAGTTGAAGTGTCTTGCATAGTAGTTGGAGTCAGAGACCGTCGCAGACGTGGATAGTATCGTTGTTCATCTATCGACATATCTAATTACTATCTTCATGTGTCCTGATTTGCCTACCAGGCGACTTGCTGTAGTCACTGTAGTCCTTCAGTTCTGGATTTACCTGCTTTTCTTGTTTATGCGTGGTGCACCTTTCTCACAATCATTCCTGACGTCGGGTGTCCAAGGCCTTTCCTTGTGCCGAAAAAACGTGCTCCCTGCCTCGGACCACGTGGTTCGTACGCTGCCCTGCAGTCTCCTTCTGTTCTCCGGCACAGATTCTCCGCAGAAGGCTGCTGCTGTGTGGCTTCGGTTTGCCTGCTTCCTGCAAACAGCGCGTGCCCTCTTGAAGTGACAAGCTCAGGCTCCCGACCAGCTTGGCGCGAATCTCGGAAGCGTTTGTGGCCAGGTTGCTGGAAGCATGCCTCAGATCCAAGGACGTAGCTTTGCGCAGAAGAGCAGACTCGAACCTACGCACCACAGAACACATCACTACGAGCAGAAAGGTGGTACTAGGACATATAACCTGACTTCGACATGACTGGGCGTCTATTGCGGCCACAGCCTTCATGGGTTTCTCATGCTTCATTCGCAAGAACTTTGGGGCCAAGTCTTCCCACCCTCTGCGCAAAGAATCACGATCAAATCCTGAACCGGAAACACATAAGTCACAAAAGTTGTGAAGAGTGTCAGCACCAGCTCCTGGTAGGGAACTCCAGCTCGGACCTCTAAGAGCTCGTTGGCTTCCGTAACATAGGAAACGACGTTGCTCCTGGTACAAGCAAGGTGGGTACATGGGCCATGGGGCCATAGTCGTGCGGCCACCTATAATGCCACAAACAAAACAATACAGAAAGATTGAAAGGAGAAACCAGCTGAGACACGAATGAAATCTATCTCAATGTTATGGGGTCGGATACGACCTCTGCATGACCTGCACCCACCATCGCCACCAAACCCGACCTGGGCCATGACTTCACAGACCTCATCGCCTTCATCATCACAGCATCATCACAATCATTACCGAGGTCATCAGAATCATCGCCATCATCATCCCCTACATCATCACCCACAGCAACAGCAGCAACAGTAGCATCAGCCACAACAACCAGGTCGACGACCGCAACAGCAACAACAACAACAACAACAACAACAGCAACGACAACGACAACGACAACAACAACCACCACGATGACGACGACAACGGCGACAACGACAACCACAACGACTACCAGAACCACTACCACTACCAACCACAACCACAAGCAACCACAACCACAAGCAACCACGATCACAAGCAGCCACAACCACGACCACGGTCCACGCCCACACGACGACGACGACGACGACGGCAGCAACGACAGAAACAACAGCAACAACGGCAACAACCGCAACAACAACAGCAATAGCAATAGCAACACAAAAGCAAGCAACTGCAACTGCAACAGCAACAGCAACATCATCACTGTCGCGATTTCCATCAACACCAGCAACACCAGCGCATTTACCAACATCGAACCACCAACACCATCTCAACAAGATCACCGACATCATCATCATCATCATCATCATCATCATCATCGCCATCATCATTATCATCATCACCGTCGTAATCATCGACGTCATCATCATCACGAGCATTCTCATCATTTTCACAGTTACCATCATTCTCATCATTCTCAGTCATCATTCTCAGTCAGCAACATCATCGTCATCAGTATCATCATCATTCTCATCATGATCATTAACACCATCGACAGTATCATCGTCATCCTGGTTATCATCAACCTCATCATCATCACCATCATCACCAACAACATCGACACCTTAACAGCAGCACGCAGCGTGTCGTCACCATCTTCATTGCGTCCGTGACATCTACAACATCGCCATCGCTATCCTCAGCAGCAGGACAACTGCGATGATCAACGAGACCAGCCGCAACAGTCGTGGCCGTCTGTTTCGTCGTTTGACAACACTTGCAGTCTTGCAGGGGCCGGCACCATGGCCATGACCTTGTACATCAACAGCCCTAGTCAATCATGGTGCACCCACCACAATTTTCGAAGCGAAGGCGTCGTCGTGCTGAAATTCAGGGAATCCCACCCTGCATGGTAGTCACAACCGCCTTGGTTGGCCGTCACTGCCCCAACCAGAAGCATCCGAAACATCTGCAGCAGCATGACACTCCATACAATCAGCACCCATGATATAAAATAAATGACAGCGAATTCTCCGCAATGCAAAATTTCGCTCAAACATGTTTCGAAGGTCGGGCGTGCGGGCACCAGTCATTAAAGCTCATCAGCACATCCAGAAATATTTGTGTGGAGCCATATCCTTAACGACTAACCGTCAACCCGTTCAATCCTGCGCCTGCGCATAAAGAAAGTTTGCACCGAGTCACGAGGTCGGGCGCAGCAGGGACCAGCCGTTGAATTCGGTAAGCACCGTCAGTGCCTGGATGGATCCGGAGAATACGTAAGTTTGGGACCCCCGGCTTGCAAGAACGTCACCGAGAGTTCATAAGGCAAGCCTCAACAACTCAAGCCGCTGGTCAATTCGCGGTTTTCATCTCATGGCAAGGAATATTGATACTGTTCACTGCTCCTCCTACTCGCATCACTATTGCTGCCGACATTACTTGCTGTGGACGTTGGCCCCGTGACACTGACCGGACACAGTCAGCAATACAGGCTTCCAAGCTGGGCTGAAAAACTTCTGTTGACCCCCGTTCGCAAAAGCTCGATCCGCAGTTGAAAAAGATACTTTCACGCTTGTGAGCGCTTTTCAACATGCATAACTTCACTAAGTCTTGTTTCGATGCCGGAGGCCGGCAATCCCTTGCTGCAGCCATGCCGCCGTACGAAATGCAAGGAAGATCAGGCACCTGCCGTCAGTGGTGCTAGTCAGAAAGCTGCTCGAAACGTAGAAGCTGTCGGGCTCGGCATCTCAAGGACGGAGACTCTCATCGAATCAGGCGGTGCTCTCGAAATCCGCAGATGTGGATTGCAGTTGAGCCATAAGATGTTCCTAAAGCACCACTACTAGTAGCAATGGGTCCTGATGCCCATTGGGACCGGCTGGAGACTGGAACAGAATCACAAATCAATAAAAACGATAGGATAGCAACGACGACGACGACATCACGAAGATTTGACAATGACCCTGATCATGGTCGTCATCACAACCACAGCAAGAAAAAACAACAACAACATCATCATCATCATCGTATTGAACCCATAACCAGGCACTGCGAACTCACATCATAGAGAGTGGACACGACACGGAGCTCTGCAGCAACCAGGACATAGCTGAATTCATTGTGACATTAAGGTCAGCGTGGTAGTGGCATCGGCGGCGCAACAACTTCCATCCAAATAACTTCTGAGTCTGCCGAGCATGTCACGTTTGAGTTGCGATTAAAAACGCCATCGAACTAAACTCCCCAAAATGCCGACACCGCACACATTCGTAGACATCCAATGGTCTCTTCCACGCGCCTTTGAAGGTACATCGCAGTTCCACAAGCTGCAGGCGGGCTATTCGCATCGCCTGCACTGCGGTGGACTGGATCAGGTGTCCACGTTCTTAAACGCTGTTGCACGTGGCTTTCGATGCTTCACGCGCCTCTGCACTGCGGAGTGGCTCTTGATGGGGCCAAAAGGTGAACCGCCGGCGGTTGGATTTGTTTTCGAGATCTGGCTGCAGGGCGAAGAGTGGTTGGAATGAGTCTGGCGAGAAGCTGAAAGCTAAAGCTCGAGAAGTTTGGCCGTTATCGTTTGGCCTAGGGCCACACGGCATGAACTGCTGGGAGTACCGGCAACGGATTCAGTTGCATCCTTTTGAGCCTGAGCACGCTATGTTGGTACAGGAATGCCGTGTCAGTTCAATCGGACGGACCCGGTTGTTTCGATCTACGGCATGGCAAGCGGATGCCAGGCCTTGTCAGCCTTATATCATGCGTGCAGGATGACGTTCCTCTCTGAGCTCTGTTGTTATGCCTCCTTTCGGGAGTTCGTCAGCAATCTGATGTCGAGTAGGCACCCAAAAGACCCAGAGGAGCCTTGTCTTAAAAGGTGCGCTGCGGGTGCCGGGCATGCGACGGAAAAACACTGCATGAATGACATAGGACTTTTCACAAATATACTGCCCGTCTTTATGAACCATATCATAGATCGACTTACAGTCCATATCCAGCGTCATGGGAACCAGATCATTCCATCATCTTCGACGTTACCCACGACCTCTGACCTACGCAGCAACTTGCTCATAAGAACTGGAACCTATTTTGATGCCGGGACAGACAACCTGTCAGCAAAAATACAACATGGAATTGGAACCTCTGTAGGGAAAAGGTAGGAAAATCGAGCACCGCGAACCTGTCTGACCTCAGCGGAATACCGCTATTCAGGCGTCCTATGCATAAATAGGCAAGAGCACATCAACGCTAATTCGGTAAACTCAAAAAGGTGCAGCATAAATTTGTGATTCGGCATGCATTGCGCTAGTAACGCTGTACTGCCAGTGGCCACCCCTATTGCCCAAACCAAGTCAACACTTCACTCTCGCTGCCCGAAAAGCTTTTTCCCATGCACCAGCTTCACGCTGCCCTGGGCCCAAGCAGAGACTGGAAGCCGCTACCGGGCACCTTCTCGCGTTCGATATGCTTCGGTGGAAGGCAGGGGTGGACAGGATGGTCATGCGACTTTGCACTTAAGGATGTTCGGTGGTTCAGAATGGGGAGCTTCAGGTTTTGAGCTCCCAGAATGCTCATCCTCTGCCGGTTGCGGTGTCTGGTTGAGGCCCTTGGGATGCTGGCCTTCCAATGAACTTCAGGGCATCTGTAGATAGAGGAACTCTAAACAAAAGGCAAACACAAGACTGTACGACACTCCTTCCAAGCTGAGTGCCACACTGGCCGTCCCGGCGTCCCGCAAGGCGTGCCGGGTGTCCCGCAAGGTGTCCCACATGGCGTGGCGCCTTCGTGGCATCGTCGAATTTGTGGTTCGTCGAAGTCTCAGGTGGGCTCTGGTAGCTCAGTTCAGATAATATATACACGGCCAGGAGACAACAGCCAACAGAAAAACATTCATATGTGAAACTGACAATGCGCGCTGACAGGAACACAACTGTGTAGATGGTGTGTGTGTTTGTGTGTGTGTGTGTGTGTATGTGTGTGTGTGTGTGTGTGTGCGTGTGTGTGTGTGTGTGTGTGGGTGCGTGTGTGCGTGTGGGTGCGTGCGCGTGTGTGTGCGCGTGTGCGTGTGCGTGTGCGTGTGCGTGTGCGTGCGCG